GGTCGAGTCGTCTCCGAGAAATCGGTGAATTTGCCTTCCGCTCCATAATTTACATTTTTGTCAAAATTAAATATGTAATCCCTGTAGATAACTCGCTGACTATTCAAAAATATACTACATTTTTCCAAATCCATTTTACTCTTATACCATGATAATTGAGCGGCATCGCAGCATAGACGGATAGTTGATACACTACATATATATATATATATATATATATATATATATATATATATATATATATATATATATATATATATATAAATGTTAATATATACGTTGATATCTGCAACGCAGTTTATAATCTTGCAGTATCACCGTAGTCATTGTTGTTTACTGTATACTTATAGAAATTTGATACTAAATAAATAAATTTCATACGTATTATAAATATAAACACCCATGACTGGAGTACAAACATTCGTGCTCATCATACAAATGAAGGCCCCCCACAGGATTATAACCCGCGACCGCTGGCACAGTAAACAGGGTCGTCAAATGTGTATTTAATTCATAAGTACTTATTTAAAAAAAATGTAATACGAACTCTGAAATGAGATAATCTGACAAAAATTTACATACTCGAAGGTATTAAATATTATAGGATAGCATAAGATGATCTACAGAAAATTTGTACCTATTTTGGGTAATTACAAATTAGTCGATGACTTATACTTTTTTTGTTCTAGCTTCACTCGGGTGCGTCCTCTATACATACGTTTCACATTCTTGATGCCTATTCGCTTAACAAAATATTATTCGACTTTAATACAAAATATCAAGATTAAGGCGGTTTATGGCGTATGAATACGTTACAGACAGACAGAATTACCTTCGTGTTTATAAAATTAGTATTGCTTTTTATTAAATTACGTCTTACCCTCGCTTCGCTCGAGTGCGTTTCGTTTTTATTATAATATTTTATACGAGTACATATATATAAAAAAAGATAACATAAATTTAAATTAGAATTACAAAGTATTGTTCAATTGTTATTTTAATGTAAAATATACTACCTTATTTGAAACTGCTTTTGTTCACAATTTCATAGGTTATAATTTTTAAGGAGGATTTACCTGTAGTGAGTACCTTGAGTATAAAATATACTTCTCATGATTAAGTTAAAATATCTTTTATCATTGATTTTCGGTATCAAACTATTGATTCGACAAAAGTATCTGTTACTAATACTGTTTGTTATCTATACATATAATAAAACTGTAGAGGTCGAATGTCTGTACGTAGAAAAAAAGTGCTAAAATCGAGTCAGGGGATGTAAGAATTGAAATAGAAGATTTTTTCAATTTTTTTGTTTCTCTGTCTGTTTGTCTGTTTGTAGGGGCTAAGCGCCAAAACTGTTCGACCGATTTAAATTAAATTTTGCATGGTATTGTATTGTTGTATTGTATATTGGACTCGTTTTCCGCACTTAGACTCGCATTTGGTCCGTTGTACGTTGCGAATCCTGGCTAGTTCAGGTAGCCTAACTCCGTCCAAAAGCGCAAAAGCTTCCTGGGAGCTTCACAGGCTTCGCAGAGCGACCTAACCGGTTCGAGGATTTCATTTCGTTGGGAAGTTACCGCTACGCATTCCAGGACTACGTGAGCGACTGATTCTACAGCGCTAAAACACCCTCTGCAGAGAGGGCTGTCCGTTGCGCCAATGTTAAATAAGTGTTTGTTTAAGGGACAGTGGCCTGTTATAGTCCCTATCGTTATTTTGAGATTGGATCTGTTTAAGTTTAGTAGGCGTTTACTGAGACGTGGGTTGACCGCGGGCAATGCTGATCTAGCTTGCCTGCAGTCTGTCGTTAGCGACCATCTCTTATTTTGAAGCGTCAGCGTCCTTTGGCGGATCCAGGTGCGAACCTGTGAAAAAGGTAGAAGAAGAAGTGGGTATGGGCCAGTTACTTCTAACCTCGATCCTTTCTTTGCAAGTTCGTCAGCTGCATCGTTGCCTAGTGAACCGCTGAGGCCCTTGATCCATTGAAAAGTGACTTGATTGGTCAGTGCTATTGTATCGAGAGCATGGTGACACTCAATTATTAATTTATTGTTTGTTTGTTTCTTAACGCCTGCAGAACGGCCGCGCTATCGGAGAGGATTTTTATGGTATAATTGTTTACCTCCCGTCTTTGCACTGCCCTTGCGGCTTCCGTTATGGCTACACATTCGCATTGGAAGATCGAACTGTGTATGCCTAATGGTATGTGTATGTTGACATTGAGATCGAGGGAATATATCCCAGCTCCAGAGCCACTCTGCGTTTTGGAGCCATTAGTGTAGATTCGTAGCTCGTTGGCTGCTGATTGGTCTATTTTCTCTTCAATCATGTTTATGTTAAATTTTTTGTTGAAGATGTGTTTGCTATATGTTCTATCACACGGAGCACCAATAAGCGGTAGTTGCTTTATTGCTCTGTTCAATATGGATGTGTGTGGACTGTTGTTGTTTTTCCCCCATAGACCTAGATGCATCAGCCTTATGGCAGCCATGGTCGCCTCTTGCTGTATGTATAGGTCCAGGGGTGTTGTTTGGAGCGCTATTTCTATGGCTGCTGTGGGAGTCGTTTTCATACAACCACTGGTAGCAGACAATGCCAGCCTTTGGAAGCGTCCTAGTTTCGTGATTACAGTCCGGAGTTCCGTTTTGGTCCACCAAACCAAGGCCCCGTAGGTTAGCATTGGTCTAACTACCGCCGTGTATAGCCATATAGTTATTTTCGGCGAGAGCCCCCATTTTTTGCCTAGCATTCTTTTGCACTGATAGAAGGCAATGGTTGATTTATTGAGTTTGTAGTCAAGGTGCTTATTTCATAGCAGTTTACTGTCTAGGATTACACCTAAGTATTTAACTGTTTCTTTAAGTTTTATTTCAGTTTTGAAGAGTTTCGGAAGTTTATGGGGTCCGAATACTCTTTGGTTTGTGAACATGATCAATTCTAGTTTCATGGGATAAACGGAGAGCTCATGTTTCAAGCACCAGTTCTCCGTTAGTTTGAAAGCTTTCCTCATGCGGTCACATAAAGTGCTTTCAAAGTTTCCCGATATTAAGATGGCTATATCATCAGCGTATCCTACCGTGTACAGGCTGTTGTCGTTGAGCTCTGTTATGAGCTCATTCACAACAAGGTTCCACAAAAGTGGAGATAAAACTCCGCCCTGTGGGCAGCCTCTACTTACGATGCCCCTTGTCGTAGTATTAACGGTAAACTGTATAGCTCGTTGTTTTAGCATGTTATTTATCCATTCTATGAGTGTAGGACTTACACCACTTGTTTGCAGGGCTCTACTTATACTAGTAAAGTTGGTGTTGTCAAAGGCTCCTTCTATGTCAATGAAGGCGCCTAGGGTAGGTTGTTTCTGATTCAGCGAGCTTCCTATGCGAGATACCACACTGTGGAGTGCCGATTCCGTTGATTTGCCTGCGCTGTAGGCATGTTGGTTAGGGTGTAGTGTAAGCTATACAGCCTTATTTGTTTACAATACAAGAGAACACTTTATTTCGATACTTTCACAATGAGTCTCTAAATGGGTCTAAGTGGTCACTATTCTCGTTAAGTAATTTGGATAGTCGGGAAACTGGCGAGTTAGAGCCCAAGACAGTTCTTCGAAAAGGTGTAACAAGAGGAGTAACTGGTTTGCGACGATATCGAGTAGAAACGTTGAACCTAAATTTGGATACCAAATCTGGATTATCTAAAGTGTTGGTAAGACTTTTATATAAAAACATTAAGTCCAGCAAATCCCTTCTTTTACTCAGGGTATGCATTTTGAAAGATGCTAGCCTATCGCTATAAGAACAGAGTTCTTTGGCCTTACCCTGAGAGAATGTCAGATGGTAAAGAAATCGCCTTTGTATCCTCTCTATTCTTAGGCAGTGTGTCGCATAATGCGGCCTCCACACTACGCTACCATACTCTAAAACGCTTCTTACTAAACGTGTTATATAAAATTATTTTAGTTTGAGCATTTCGAAATATTTTGCTATTCCTGAGAACAAAATCCAACATTTTTGTGGCTTTAGTGACTATATGGTCTATGTGTGGTATAAATGTCAGCTTCTCATCAAAAACCACGCCGAGATCCCTGATAGTGCTTACACGTTTTAAAGGTAAATCAGAAATAAAATACTGGGTGTTAACTTTAACATTGTTCCGAGTGAAGGATATGCAAGAACACTTATCTGTGTTTAGTATCACTCCGTTCACTTTACACCAGTTATACAACCTTATTAGATCTTCCTGTAAGCGGAGCGTATCTTTATTATTGTTAATAATTTGAAGGAGCTTAAGATCATCAGCAAACATGTAAGGGGTCGAATACATAAAGCATTTGGGAAGGTCGTTTATGAATATATTAAATAGTAAAGGACCTAAGTGTGAACCTTGAGGAACTCCTGATGTTACCTTATATTCAATAGATTCATGACCATTGGCAACGACATAGAAACTTCTATCATTGAGGTATGATTTTAGACAGTACAAAATTGATGCAGTCACGCCATATGCTGATAATTTTATAAGTAGAACTGAAATATGTACCAAATCGAATGCGTTGCTAAAATCTGTGTAAACAACATCAATTCTTTTTCCTTTATTAATAGTGTCGATTAACATCTCCGAGTAATTAACTAAATTCGTGTTTATAGATCTTCCATTAATAAAACCGTGTTGATGATCACTAATAAAGTTCTTAAACTGGGCATATATGTACGGGTAAATTAAGGACTCAAATATCTTGCCAAGCACCGATAGAATAGATATAGGCCTGTAGTTCTCAACTTTTACCCTGTCACCATTCTTAAAAATGGGGACAAGTTTTGCCGTCTTCCACTTAGTTGGAAAGGACCCTTGACTTAACGATGTATTGTATATATATCATTTTAAGTGGTACTGCTAGAGACGATGCACAGTTAATTAAATAAACTGGAGGTATCTCGTCTGGTCCTGCTCCTTTATGCTGATTTAGACCCTTTAATTTATTTAAAATATCATGCTCACTTAACTGAATCTGTGATAAAACATAGCTTATATTTACTTTATCATGTATATAGGCTAGGATGTCATTGACGTTAAATTGCTTACCTGTATTAATATTAGCAATCTTCGAAAAATGTGACGCAAACGTGTTACAAATCTTATTGCCACCAGAAATTTCGACGTTATTTCTCGTCATTGTAGCCGGTAATGCATGAGCTTTGTTTTGTTTTTTAAATTTCATAAACGACCAAAAATACTTAGAATGAGCTTTAACATTGTTTTCTGAGCGTTCTATATATGAGTTATAAGATTCTATTGAATGTTTATCGCATCTTTTTTTTAGAAGTTTCAAAGATATCTCGTCACTAGGATTTTTATATTTTTTATGCCTAAGTCTAACTTTTTCCTTTTCATTAATTAGTTTAATAAGGGTTTTGTTGATCCCAGGAGGGTACTTATGATTATTTTTCTTTGAGATTTTGGGTACATAAAGTTCTATTGATGATCTTATGACAGAATACAGGATTTCCACCATTTTATTAACATCATCATGCGTTGAAAGCTTTTCAGACCAATCAACATTGTCTAGAAAATTATTTACTGCTGTATAATTTGCTTTAGAGTAGTTATATCTTATATGGTTAGGGTTGGAATCCAACAGTTTGGTCGCCTTATCATCTAGACTGAAGCTGATGTCAAAGGGTGGGTGTAAAGGATCAATACGACTCAATACTTGTGTTGATGTTTCAACTTTTACTTTTAAAATATCATTATTAAAGAAAACTAGATCTAATATTCTATTTTCTTGATTTTTTATGCGATTGACTTGATAGAAACAGTTAACCCGGGAAAAATCTATTAGAGATTTAGGCAAAGAGGGTATGTTCTGCCCGTGACTGAGGTTATCCACTAAGTCCCAGTCTATACAACTTAAGTTAAAGTCTCCAACAATAAGTGTACTGTAGTGTATAATCTCTGAAATACGATTAACATTATTCATAAATCTATCTAAGACAGTTTTATTTACTGGCGGGGGAATATAGGTAGCACACAAAGCTAGTTTATTGTTTTTGTTTATTTCAATTACTATCCACAAATCTTCAGCTTCTTTAATAATAGCAACACTAAATAATATTAGTGACTATATAGTTAACTGCCTCGGTGGTGTAGTGGCTAGCATGTACGGCTGCACACCCGGAGGTCCTGGGTTCGAGTCCCGGGTCGGGCCAAGTTTAGTTATTGAGTCTTCCTGTATAGTAAGTCTCAGTAACAGCCCGGAGTTGGGAAGTTGGCGGTGTTTCACCCCCGTGCCTCGGAGAGCACGTAAAGCCGTCGGTCCTGCGCCTTAACTCTCACCGGTCGTGTCGAGTGGTCGTCCCACCGGAGTATGAGAGTGATAGGAATAGAGAGTGCACTTGTGTCTGCGCGTACACTTGAGCACTATAATATCTCCTGCGCAGTTGGCTAATCTCATTGAGATTGGCCGCCATGGCCGGAATCGGCTAGGAGAACATCAATATTAGTGATTAATAAAGTTTTAAGAAATTGTAGTATTTATATTAACAGCTAAAATTAAATAAATAATATAATTGCTAATATTATTACTATTAATAATTTTATTAATAAAATAAAAATAAAAACTAATATTATTAATATTTTAGTGTCTCCCGTGACCATGATTGCTGTAAAGCATTCGAAACGTTGGGAACCAAAAATCAAAATAAATCCGCGAAATAATCCGAAAAGATAGTTTTATTTAAGGGTTTGATTTTATTTAAAGTTCATTTTCTTCTTTTTAGAACATTTATATAAAAGCTTGCTTTTAAAAATGTTTTTGAAGTTATATCTATTTTGGTGCGTTAGGGCAAAAATAATGAGAGTATTTTTTTTACGATGCGACAGATTTAAACTACAATATGAAGTTAGTCATTAAATCTTCCTTTACTAGCTCGTATTTCTATACTATTTTTTGAGTTATTTGTTCGTATTCTTTTAAGCCAACCCTTTCATTTGATTTCCGTATTGTGGTTGTGCATAAAAATATAGTCCGTCGTATTTTTAGGAGTCCGCAAAATCCAATAGATTTAGAATAACGACCTCACTTAGCTAACTATGCATTATCATCCAAACTAAACGTGTACGAAAAATTTCAGCCAAATCGGTTAAGGATAACTGCTTTAAAATTCAGTTGCAAGATTTGACCCGAACAAACACACAACTACTTTCGATTTATAATGTAATTATAATCTACCTTAGTTTTATTAGTACTTTTTTCTGTTATATTCGTAATATAATTTTTAAATTCTAACAATTTTTTGAGTCCGTGGTATTATTATATATTAATGTAAATTTTAAATGCTAATTTATTTTATTATAGTTAAGTAACTGTCCTCAACCCGTAAGAAGGCGTAGTATGAATCAAAGCCAGGCGCCACTCGATGTGTCATTAGGACCACAACAGATATCTTCGGAGTAGTAAATTATTTTTGTAGGAGATGTCCATAAGCTGGATATTTTGTTAATAGTGTGGGAAGATACAATAACTTCGCGAATTACGTTTATTTATTATTTTATATCTAAATAGATGTATATTTTAACTATGGCTACTAATCACAAAGTTTTGAATTTGACTGATATCCTAAAGGGGCAACATGACGACGATACGTACAAAGTATCCTACGTCAATGGCAATTAAAATACCTGAATGCAAAAAACAATCTGTTGCTGATATTTTACGTGAAACCATACAACAGTATGTAAAATAAACAGAGTTTATAATATTTATAACCTACCTCACAATTATCGAACATAACGTTGTAGCAAATACGGAAAATTGTTGATACTTATTGAAGAAGTTATAAAACGACTACGACGACGATTAAACTGAGATACTAAGTATTAGACTTATGTCTATTCATTTCAATTTTTTTATATTATTCATTCATTCATGTCTAAACATCTAAGGAAGATGCAATATAGCCCTCAGTCGACGACTACGATGTTATCTTAACGGGATAAATGAGACCTAATATAAATATGCCAGCAAGCTTAACTAGCAAGCCACAATGCTAAAGCTAACCTTAGCTTAGAAAACCAATTAAAGTGGGTTTAAATTGCGGCTATTGTACCTTTGGTACTTTTATGTGTGAATCATTTCCAACATGATTACCACTTGCTCATACGGTAATGGAAAACATCCTGCTCTTGTTTTAGTTAATTTCAATTGAGACCTGGGCTGTGCTAAAGTCTCTCTTTAGTGGCAAAAAAAGTGACTACTGGTATCTAGAAGGTTTGAGGTTGAACGATCATTTTAGCCTGACATCTTCCGACGAATCAAATCTATTAGTATAGTTACAGTGAGGTAGACAAAAGAGAGGGATAATAATATCTCCGTAACTATTTCCATATGCCATTGAAAATTTTTAAACTCCTGGTCATAGCAGCGGACGGGCACCGTTACTATCATCATGGCTTACTTCTGATTTGGTATGACCTCCCATGCAATCCGGTTTCCATCCTAATCATAGTACTGCTTTAGTCAAAATCACAGATGACACTAGGCAAGGCATGAAAGATCAAAGACTGTGTTGATACTGCTGGATTTCAGTAATGCTTTCAATTCGGAGGACTTTGACATATTACTTGAAATTATATCTTCTATTAACATAACTCCTGAGGTGGTTAACTGGTTTCATTCTTACTTTGCGAGCGCCGACTCTAGCATAGCATTTATTTCACACCATCAAAAATAAAGTCAATTCTTAGCGCTTCAAATTTGGTGACCATTTGCAACATTTTCTTAGAAATGCCTCTCAACTTGTTTGGAACATTTTTCATGGTGTGTAATTAATGCTATGCTAGCAGTCTTATAAATCATCTAATTACTACCCAAGTATTATATATAAAAATCAGCTTTTATACTATAACGTAAGTAGAATTATGATTTCATGAGAAGGGTGTCTGGCAAGGGTTTGCCACGATGTTAATTAAGTGTCTGGCATTGAATGACGTGATTTTTAATTATATTCTGTAGGTAATACAAAAAAATCACACTTTATTATTTGACGAATTTAGATCGGTATTTTACACACCATTAGTACCGTGTACCTGCCAAAGCCACCATAGCCTGAACTTCATAATGGTCCATCGTTCTTATCTGTGTTGGGAGCATGCGCTGACAAACTTTCAGCCTTTATAAAATGACGAATGTCTGGCGTTCACGGGCTCTTCCTCTAAAAGATGTTTGGAGCGATTGTTTCTCTTCGTAGATTGCCGAATTTTCTACCTATACCTACTAAAATTGTGCTGGCAAATTAACTCCTACTACTGATTCTTGTTTATGCTGACATTTGTTATCATGACATCAAAGAGGAGCACCTGATTAAGCTTGAGCGACTCCTAAATTTTCGTATACGATTTATTATCGGTCTTAGAAAATATGACCACGTTTCTCAGTATTGAAAAGAAGCTCAAGTGGCTCCCAATACGATTTCGCAGGAATACTCATATTTTTCATCTTCTCTACTGCGTGCTGTTTAATCCTTTAACTATTATCTATCTGAAAGAGCGTTTTGGGTTTTTGAGCGACTCTCTTAAGATTCCTTCCCACTCTTCCTGTTTCTACACGAATTCTTTTTCAATTAAAGCTGGTTGTCTTTGGAATGCTCTTCCTTTAAATATAAAACGTGCTAAAAGTTTGGGCAGATTTAAAATTTTATTAAAAGAATACTATTTATCTCTTTAGCTATCTCTCTTTATCCTTGTCCTTTTTCTTGGTGTACAATAAAGTGTAATTGAATTGACCTTGGAGGACCCTAGTACGATTTTACGACACACGGATAGTATGACAAACAGACAGACAAAAATTTTAAGAACTATTGTTTTGGGGTCTATATTGTGTACATAATACGTTACAAGGTCAAGCTGGCATCCAAAAAGCTAGGTGTGCTTAATAGAGCGAAGCGGTACTTCACGCCGGGACAAAGATTGCTTTTATATAAATCGCAATTCCGTCCCCACATGGAGTACTGCTCATATCTCTGGGCGGGAGCACCGGCATACCAGCTTGGGCCTTTTGACTTGGTTCAAAGGAGAGCTGTGAGAATTGTCGACGATCCAATACTCACAAGCGATATAGAGCCCCTAAGTCTAAGAAGATATTTTGCGTCCCTATGTGTGCTCTATCGTTTGTACAATGGGTTGTGTTCCGAAGAATTGTTCGAAATGATGCCCACGGCCACTTTCTATCATCGCACCGCTTGCCATCGACAGCGAGTTCATGCTCACACATTGCAGCCCAAATGGTCCCGTACAGTTCGGTTTAAGAGGAATTTCCTCCTACGGACCATTTCGCTGTGGAATGAACTCCCTGCCGAGGTTTTCCCAGAGGGCTACAGTATGGGGTCCTTCGAAAGGGGAGTAAATAGGTTTTTAATGGGTCGGCAACGCGCATGTGATGCCTCTGGTGTTGCAGGCGTCCATAGGCCACGGTAACCACTTACCATCAGGCGGGCCGTATGCCTGATTGCCACTGACGTGGTATAAAAAAAAACAAACAAAAACAAATCTATCCCACGGGAACCGTACATTTTTCCGGGATAAAAAGTAGCCTATTTGTTATTTTGATGTATGAACGATATTATTAGCAAGTTTCATTAAAATCCAATTAGTAGTTTTTGTGTACTAAGCTGTATAAGTTACTATAGTTTTTTAACTATCCCCCGGGAACTCTTTAATTTTCCGGGATGAAAAGTATCCAAGATGTTGACCGGGGATATAAGGTAAAAAGCATCATGCCAAATTTCATATAAATCTTTCAACAGTTTCGGAGATTAGCCCGTACAAACGGACAAACAGAGAAACAAAAAAATTGAAAAAAATCTTAATTTGTTCTATTTCTTTTCTTACAGCCTCTTTGACTCGGTTTTAGCATTTTTTCTATGTACAGACATTTGACCTCTACAGTCTTATTATAATATAGATATAAATGCGGCCAGGTCTGGGGGTGCAGGGTATGCATTATAATTAACAATCATACTTTCGACACAACAAAGTAAAAATTTACTAGCTATGGTACACAATTTTTTTATAAGCTCCAATTTATGAAGTGTTCCCAAAATGGCACAGTGGTTGAGAATGGGTTAATTGTAACCATAAAAGATTGCTGCATTAATTATTCTTGAAATTATTAAATTGCAAGAATAATTAATGCAAATAACGACGCGTAATTAATCTGTACATATTACTCCTATAAATATGAAGTATTATTCAATTTGTCCTCATTTTTCTAACACTGTGGCATAATGGACCGAAGTATTGAGGACTTTTATGATGGACAATCTATTTTTATAACTGGAGGTACAGGATTTCTTGGAAAGGTACGAAATATTATTATTCTTCTTCGTGACACTCTTGACAGAGCGGTCGTGGTCATCACGTAGCAGTTTCTGTAGGAGCAGATGTGATGCTCCTTAC